AGCGCCCTCCTCCCGAGGAGACTCGCCCAGGCGCTGCCCGCCGCCCGCCGCCACCATGTCCGAAATCCTGCCCTACAACGACGACAAAGTGGCCCATTATGGCACCGACTCGGAAGTCAGCGACATCTCCTTCAGCTGCCGCCTCCAGGACACCAACTCCTGGGGCAACCAGTCCAAGCGGCCCCCGAAGCTGGGCCAGATCGGGCGAGCCAAGCGAGGTAAGGCAGCCCGGCTTCTCCGGCCCCTCGGAGCACCCACTGCCCCCCTCCCCGGCCGCCCACTGGGTCTGGCTTGGGCGCCCTTTCCACGGCACTGCGCCACGGACGCCCCTCCGATGCCCGGGACGGGGAAGGGCAGGCGGCGGCTTCGCCACCTTCCGGACGCTGCGCTGCCGCAGGAGGAGGAGGGAGCGGGACCTCTGGTGCCTTCTCTCCCGCCCGCCGCCCCCGCGGCACTGGTCGCGTCCCCCGGTTCCCTGGGCTCCGGTCTGCCGCATGAATCCCAAACCCCCCAAAGGTCACCCGTTCAGCTCCCGGCAAGGCTGGGCGGCTCAAAGCGCGCGGGGCCCCCGCGCCATCCTCCCCGCGGGCTCCTCTGGCGCGCTGTCGGGCTGGCTCGGACTGCGCTCCCTCTTTAATCACCTTAAGCGGGGCTCTCGGCTCGCAGCCACCGCCATCTGGGCAGGGACGGGGGAGCCATTTTCCCCCAGCGGATTTCATAACCAGATGTTGAAGGGAAAGAGAGAGAGGAGAGGGAGGGACGGAGCCAGCCCCACGGGCAGCGCCAAGGGGCAGCAGGGCGCGCGCGAAAGGGGGGGGAAGGAGAGCAGATACACTCAGGTGTGTGTTTGCAGAATTGCAATCGTGACGCTTTATATCTGTAGTTTCCATCATTTGCAATTTTCTTTTGAACATCCACTTACTACCTATTACCTTATGCTCTGCTGGTAGTTTGGTTTCAGTGACCCGCCCGCCCGCCAGCCCTTTTTATGACCGTGTGCTCTGTGTTTGTCTCCCCTCCCCTCCCGGCAGCGGTGATCGAAGATGATAGAATAGACGAGGTGCTGAAGGGGATGACAGACAAGTCGCCTTCCGGGGTATAAATTCCGCTGCAACCAAAGGCGCCTGCACCCGGCTGCAGGCTGACCCCTGAAAATTTTTTAGCACTTTTGGCTGCGCATGTTTGTTGGGATTGTGGACAACAAGGGAAAGCGAAGAAGAGAAGGAGATGAGGCTGCTGGCAACAACACCCTCCACCCCCAACGCAGACCCCAACCCGACGAGGGATCACTGATGGGGGGGGTCCACCATCTCACCCTCCTCCGCCTCCAGCGGAGAGCCAAGGGGCAAACAAGTCAACCAACAAGCCAACCAACAAGCCAACACAAAGAGACCTTGTCACCCAACTCTGTCCTGATTACCAACCACCGGTACCACCGCCGCCGCCACTACCACTCGCGCACGATGCCCAACCCCGGAGCAGCTGCATCTTCAACCACCCCTTCCAGAAGGGAGCGCCCTCTCTTTGCGTTGGAGCGGAAGGCAGTTCTTGCGCCTTGGAGAGCTGTCCGTTTCAGCACCACCGCCCCGCGCGCGACGGTGGGTCCGCGCCTGGCCCCCCGTCTCCCGAGACGCGCCCGCAGATGGGGGAGCTGTCCGGTTCAGCACCATCCTTGGGATGCTTTGCCTTGCCTAGCCGTCCGAGGGGGGGCAGCCCCTTTTCGTGAGCACTTGCTGAAGTGCTGCCTGTATTTTTTTGTTTCCACCCCCCCTCGCCTTCCCGAACCTTCTCTTCCCGCATCCTTCTCTCTACCCCTTGTCTCCATCGCGCTCGCTCTCTCCCCTGCGTTCTTAGGATCCAGCCTGCAACAGCGTCAAGTCCCCTCTTTGGGTCACCCCCAATGCCACGATCTGAAGGTGCTGTTCTTTGAAGAGTGCTGAGCCACGAAATCGCCCAGCGCTCTCCATTTTTAGGGGGAGGGGGGTCTCCTTTAGCAATGCACTTTATACCGTTCACTCTTTTTTTTGGGGGGGTGGCTCTGTAGCTGACACCTGCATAAGCTTAGACAAGCATACAAAAATCGACACGCTTCTCTAAATGTAGCAGACTCATCCACGTCCTCAGCCATCACTTCAGTATTTCGAACCAACAACTACTCCGCAATACATGGTAGCGCTCTCCCCCCTCACTCAAGCCACCTGTAATACCCAGTCCGTTTGCAAAATACCAGCAGTTTGGAAGCAAACCCAACGCCAGCAGTGCTGAGTGGAAGACAGAGAGGTTCTGACGCAGATGAACTATACTATTAAAAGACAGTGATTGTTTTTTGCTGCCGAGAGACATTTTTGCTCCATCTTTTTTTGCATGAGCTTCCTGGTCTTGGTGCCACGTCTTGGTGCCACGAGTCATCCCACTATGGCACGCTTCTTTTTAACAGAAACTCCTCATATTTGTATTTTTATATCTGAATATTTGTTAACAACAATCTGCTAATGTCTAATGTCAAAACGTTTGCATCAAAAGATTGTTTGTAATTTTTTTTCTCTCTCCCCATAAAAGAAAGGCAGACAAGGTTTTTTACAAGATGGGTTTCCCAGTGGAAAGCAGATAACGTTGAAATAGCTGGATCTCTTAATTATATATCAGTATTGGACAGGACTTCTTGAATGTGTTTCTGGTTTTGCACACATCATCGTTAATAAGAAATGTATTTAAACAGTCTTATACTGCGATCAATGGCTTCGTTGATGGACTTTGTAGGAACACGATGACTTTAGGAAGAAAAAAAAACCTATTGCACTGTTTATGAATGTGATCAGATAACTTGCTGGTTATTTGATGCCTCTTCATTAAGGGGCAATGTTCAGAGTTGTTTTTAATTTTGTACTTTAATTTATTTTTTTTAAAGAAGCTTATTCTCGTCTGTTGTGCATGAGAAACCATCATCTTTTCAATAATATACAGTGACATTTTATGAAGACAAGCAAAAAAAAACAAAAAGAATAAGAATAATTATTGTCATGACATTCTAAGAATGACCCATTGTAAATTTTAATGCCATTTTTCACTGTACTGGTGAACAAAACTCAATGAATAAATACATACATGTACTGAAATGGAAGCAACCAGTTTTGGGTACGTATCATCCTTGGCAAAGATCAAATTCCATTGGTAATCAACATAAAACCAACCACTGCAGCTTCATCAGTGGCCAAGGACTCAGACCTAAAGGATTAAACTGGTTGAGAGATTCTTTAAAAGGCATTCACTAGGTTCTCTGGGAGTGATATCAGAATCCAGCCGAGAACCAGTACTGAGTTACTGACGCAACCGGTACCACTTTTCCTCTCTTTGTTGGCAAACTGCTTATGGTGTAGGAATTGTGCAGATAGACCCAGGTTTCAGGCACAGATTTGCTAGCTATGGATAGCCTAAGTCTTCTGCCGTTGCCTGATTGGGATGACAAGTACTAAATGACCTAGTTTTGCTTGACAGACAGAAATAGAAATTCAGGCAGATGAGCAGCTTGTGGCTGTTAAATATTTTAACAGAGCCTCTCCGAGGAGTTGCCCTTTTTTTTGCCTTTGGGAGGCAGAAGGGACTTGGTGGAGGAAAGAGAGGGCAGAAGCCTGCAGGGAAGCTAGGCAGGAGGACACTTGCATGATGCTGGAGAGGGGGAGCCTGATGAGGCCATACTGCTGCATTGGGGCCAGACTGAAGCGGCTGCGGGCAAGTGGCCACAGCAGAACTGAAAGGGTGGCTCAGGGAACAAGGTGAAAACCATCACTGGATTTCCTGGATTCATTCTGAGCAGGAGGCCTTGTGAATGTCCTTCAAAAGCCACGGGGCATGTTTTACAAAAAGGGGATTAACAGGAGAAAGGCCAGCTCATTTCTCCTTCTGTTGACCCTGGGATTGTCCTTGAATTTGTTTAGTGGAATGCTGCTATAGTTTTTTTTTATAGTTTTTTAAATAGATTTTTGTTGTTTAACTCAAAGGGATCATGTTGCACCTCTTTGGCTGCTACGTCCACTCCAGTGTCACTAATAATGCAACACAGTGGGTCTCAGAACTACTTAGCATGCAGTATGATGGTGCAGGCATTCAGAGCCGGATACAGACATGCCAGTGTAAGCAAGGCATAATGAAACATTCAGCACCCAACCCATCAGTATGTATACGGTCAGGCAAACATCCCCATTCAGAGATCCTGCAGCTGTGTCTTCACTAAAGGTATTCAGAGCTACAGATGCTCCCAACGTAGGCACGGAGAAAGCTGACCAAGTGCTTAACACTCCTACAACTGGGTAGCATCCACTGAGCGACATAGATGCCCATGCACACACATGAAGGGTACATCTAGGTATCTCCACCCATAGGCCCACATACCCCAGCACCAATTGTAACCAAATGGGATTCCATAGTCTTGCATGGCATTAAACACTCTCAGCCCTGCGATTCCCAAAATCAGAATTACAGATCCTTTCCAACTTCTGACAGCTAAACTAAGGAGCAAACAACAAACTTCAAAAACTCCAGGCTAAATCTCATTGTTCCCATTTATAGTAGACCACTGAACTGATGGGTTACGTCTTCAAAAACTCCGGGCTAAATCTCATTGTTTCCATTTATAGTAGACCACTGAACTGATGGGACTTCTATAAATGTCTTAACAAATCTCATTCATTCAGTAGATCGACACTGGTCGGGACCGACAACTGCATTTTGCCTTCTGGCTTTGGGCGGATGCTTGCTCATTGCACAGTGGCAGATGTGCATTCCTCTCCTGTCCTTCAGCTTCTATGACAGTTTCCTTGCCATGCTGCAGTCTACAATGACGTTGCTCCTAAGAGCCTCAGGCGCTGCTCAGTCCCAGCTGGCTCTGTGTAAAAAAGATGTGCTGTACAGTCAGACATTTTAATTCACAGGCCAATTCCCTCATCTGGAGAGGAAGCAACATTTAATTAATCCTGGCGCCCCCAATCCCCAAGCACTTGACTGCTTTCAGGAGTCACTTGGCAGTAGTAAGTGGCTCAAGCAAGCAAGCACCACCCGTCGCAAAAGTGGAGCGGACATTCCACAACCATGGACTCCCTTGACTTCTCCACATTAGACTGCACCACGCAGAGTTCGCTGCCCTCCAGATCTGGCGGAAGGCATCATGACACTGGAGGGCCAAGGCTAGTTTCTTTATTGGTATATGCAGGACACGGTGCCACCAGACAAAGCTCAACACGCCCAGTCTTGTCTGATGTGGGCAGGTAAGCCCGGCTGGGCCTGGTTAGTGCTTGGATGGAAGATGAGTAGGTAAAACAAGCGGTCTCCAAGTAGAGTAAGCAAAGAATGATGCTGGAGAGGATGGGCAATGTTGAGGACCAATGTCCTGACATGGGACACGGCAGTTTCCTCTTTCTCTTGAGTCTTCTACATACGAAGTTGGAGCATTGGCCCACCGAACATGGCTGTCCAGAGATTTTGGGTAGACCTCTCTGCTAGCCTTGTCTGGAGGTGGTGGAGGTGGAAGCTTTGACCTTCTGCAAAGCAGAGGAACTCCCAGTTCTTTCCTTTCAGATCCATTCCGGGTTCCCCTGCTCACAAGTATTCTTCATTTCAGCTGACTCATTTTACTGTGGACGTCTTTTCCAATTCTTGCTTTACAAGGAAGGAAACCTTGGAGGCCTACCAGATAACCAGGTAACGGTCTACCTATAGGCTCCTTACTTACTCCTGCTCTGCAGCTCGCTAAACCTGCATGCTTTCACCTCTGATCTTGATAATTTGTCAAGTTCCCTCCCCCCCCCCACAAGATATGACATAGATACAGAAGGAATCTGAGGGGTCATTTAGATTTGGCTCAATCACTTTGAGACACACGGTGATATTTTTGCTCCCTCCCTCATTTTACAAACAAACCCAGTACAAAAACTTTGCAGTGTGTTTGTTGACCATCACAAAACACCTCCCAGTTCCCAGTCATTTCTTCAAAGCAGCCGGAACAAGGCAGCCATCCTGTTCGGAAGCTTACAAAATTAGATTTTGAAGTCTGCATTGTGATTGAGTTTTCGCTCTTGGAGAAATTAATTTTACTGTCTCCCTAGCTATGGGAATCAGGACAATATTGATTCAGTGAGTCACATGATTTGGGAGGTCAGTCACCTCTCAAACTGGGGAACTTTCTGCTGAGGATTCCCCAGGAAAAAGAGGCGTGCTTTCCAGGCCAGTTTTCGGGATATTTCTTGGGGAAATGGCACTGCCAGCACTTCTCAGCCAGAGCCAGGCAGCTCCTTCAGACACTGTATTTTCTGTTTCAAGAGAAGAGAGCAGATTGTTAATTATTCCTCTCCCTTTTCTCCTGATGATGATTTTAATCTTGATTGATCTGAAATATTTTTATCTCCCTTCCTCCTTTAAAAGGCAAAGACCTTTCTGTTCAGCCAGCATTTTAATTAAATAGTATTCTTTAGCTGGCCACATGAGCAACAGGATTTATTAATATTAATGTTTTCATGATTGTTTTTAATATAGGATATTATTATAATATTGCCTGTTTTTAATTGTTTTGATGTTTTTAAAGTTTTAATATTGTACGCCGCTTAGAAAACACTGGCAATGGCGCAGCTAAAAAAATCTTGTAAATAAATGAAATAAATAAAGGACCCAAGGCGGCTTACATTATGTAAAGACAGTGTTGAAAGCTAACAACAGTGAGTATACCAAATACATTGGTGCCCCGCATAGCGACGTTAATCCGTTCTAGGATTAATGTCGCTATCCGGATTTGTCGCTATGCGGGGGGGAACCCATAGGAACGCATTAAACAGAGTTTAATGCATTCCTATTGGGGAAAATCTCACCGCTATGCGGGGAATCATCCATCTGGCCGGCATTTTCGCTGCCCCGGTAAGTGAGGGCAGGGCACGAAAACGCTGCGGGCAGCCATTTTGTTGACCCGGCGGCCATTTTGGAATCGCCGATCAGCTGTTTGTAAAACATTGCAATGCGAAGATCAGTAAGCGAAACGCTTACTGATCATCGCAATGCGATGTTTTCCCTATCTAAAACATTGCAATGCGATCGCATTAGCAATCGCAAAAAATGCATTGCTATGTGGATTCATCGTTAAACGGTGCGCTCGTTAAGCGAGGCAGTACAGTACTAAAAAGGATCAGACAAATCCTCTACTAAAAAAACAGAAGCAACATCTCTGATGCAGTAAGGTACAACCATACATTGAAAAAACCCCACTCAGGCAGCCATTCTCAGTGGGAAAGCCTGCCTGAAGAGAAAGATCTTCACCTGATGGTGGAAGGACAGCAAAGATGGGGCCAGGCTGTCCTCCATTGGGAGAGAGTTCCAAAGCCTGGGAGCAGCCACAGAGAAGGCCCTCTCCTGTGTCCCCACCAGATGGACCTGTGAAGGTGGCGGGACCGAGAGAAGGGCCTCTCCTGCTGATCTTAACCCTCGAGCAGCCTCATCAAGGGAGATGCAGTCCTTGAGAAAGCCTGGACCCAAGCCGTTTAGGGCTTTATAAGCCTGGGCCCAAGCCATTTAGGGCTTTATAGGTTAAAACCAACACCTTGACCACCTTGAATTTTGCCTAGGAATGAATAGCAATGGGGATGAGTGTCAAAAGTAGAGGTGACATTTCCCCCACCACCCAAGTACTGAAGTAATAACTTGGGTGGCGTCAGATACTGTAGACCCCTTTCCTGTGCATTAGACAGAAAAATGTCTTGTGTGGATGTTGGCAAGCAGACACACACTTTTTTTTTTGCATCTAGATTACCATTTGGGACCCCTTGCTCCGAGGTTGCTGTCGTTAGGTGCTGTCAAGTTGCCTCTGATTTACGATGACCCTATGAATGAATCTCCCAAATGTCCGGTCCTCGACCACCCTGCTCAGCGCTTGCAAAATCAAGCCTGTGGCTTCCTTGAGGAAGTTGATCCATCTCACGTTGGGTCTTCCTCTTTTCCTGCTGCCTTCGACCTTTCCCAGCACGCGGGTCTTTTCCAGAGAATCCTGCTTTCTCCTGCGTCGGGTCTTCCTCTTTTCCTGGTGCCTTCGACCTTTCCCAGCATGCGGGTCTTTTCCAGAGAATCCTGCCTTCTCCTGAGG